GGGAAGCATTTCCTTTGCTCCTCATAGAAATTAATCTTCACAAACATGCAACAGAGATTTAACATCTTTCTCAAGTCACAATGCTTCAATAGTTGTTTTTGAAAACAGTAATTATAGTTCAATGATTGATGAAATTTTCAATGAATATATAGTCGAACTATATAATTTGAAAATCAACCAATCATGTTCTCTAAGAATCTTTATTTGGTGGACTACTTTTATTCATCACCCTGCAAGCCTCATGATTTGCTGATGATGCAAGTTGTATAATTACTTCTTTTCTGAATTGATGTCTCCCTTCGCCTGATTGATGCTTCCAGACAAAGCGCCTCCATTCGAACCTCCGGCACCAGGGCCTACGTAGATGCTTCCTAAGGAGTTCAAAATGACATTTTCACCTTTGATCATATGATCAATATTTAGACGTTCTGTTTCAGGGCTAGCAATCCAAGCTTCTTCTACACGCTGCAAAAAAAAAAAAAAAAAAAGAACTTTAGGGGACACGATTCGGGGACGACCTAGCTATTGGCGTACCGGGCATTGTCCTTTAAGTGATATTGGTAACGATTCATTTTAGTTGTCGCAAATCTGCTCAAAACTCTAATTGGGGACGCCTTATCTTTTAAGTCTCTCTGATTTAAATTTATTGTTCCAATCGGCTATTCACACGATATAGGATTGGTAACAGCCTTTGGGGATGACTTGAGATTAAGCGTGCCCAACTTAATTTTAAGATATAATTAATTAGTTTAATCATTCGTAAATCTATTATGGAATTCATTTGGAGAACTAATGAAATTTTAAATTTTTTCTAATACTACTTCGTTTTTTTAGGTTCAACATTAAAATAAAATACCTCATGTATTTTTAAGGGATGTTCAAGACTGCTACTAGGAGTGTTTAAACATTTAAAAAAAAAAAAAAAAGATTAAGTTTGCCATGCAAAGGTTAACGACACACACAAAGAAACAAAAAGATTTTGGCTTCTTTTTTGCAGAAAACAACCTGTTCATCTTCTTCTCCCATTTTTAGTTCGAACTACAAATTAAAATGTTGGTATTAGGGAAAACGTGCCTGGTGTTAAACTTTAAGTGAAATTGGCACAAATGACTAATGTGATTTTGTTTTTTTTTTTTTTTTCTCCTCATATTTTTCTCCCCTTTTTTTTTCATTTTTTTTTCCTTTTATGTTCATTTTAAATCTCAACTTTCAAAAACTTGCATTTCCTCCAATTCTAGACTCTTAATTTCATTATTTCTCTCATTTTCCTCATCCACCATTAACTAACATGAATTCCTACATTTTAAATAATTTAAATTTAATTTTGTAATCCTTTCATACTTTACTTTAACCATATATTTGGGTTGAGGGGAAGGTAGAGAGGAGAATTATATTCCTCTCTTCCTCTCCATTTCCCTCCCCTTTCCTTCTTTTCCCTCATTTGGATAAGTAACCAATTAAGTTAAAACAAAAAACAAAGTACAGAAAATTTTTCCCTCCCCTCTCTTTCAATTTTTTTGATAATCAAATAAAAAATTTATTTCTCTTTCCCTTCTCTGCATTTCCCACAACCCAAACATACTATAAAAGCTTCCTTTATTAGTGCCACTTTTCATATTTCACAAAATTTATGGTGGGATAAGTTTGAGCACTCTTTTATTGAGTACTTTATACTGAGTTCGCTGAGTTTTCTATTGATAATATCTGACAGTTAGAGGAAAACAATTCCTTAAAGGAGCGCATTATTGTTGCTAGAAGTTCAGGATAAAAAAAAAAGAAGAAGCATATTTGAAGGTACTAAAATCATAAGTTAGCTTTCAACTCTTTTAAATCTCTCTCTATTTAATTTAAGATTTGAATTTAAAATCTTCGATTTAAAATTTTAAACTTTTAATTATCGATTTCCTACTGTCTCACCTCTTGTTCGTTTGTGTGAGGTAGTTGTTTCAGGCTTTGGTCTATTTATATATGTTTACTTGTTTTCAGTGCACCGTCTTTATGGCTTTGTTCATGTTCTGATGTCTCCTGTGTTTTCTTCTTGTGTTGCTACTATGTAATGTTTTCCTTTTGTTAAATATATAAGTTTTCTCGGCCAAAAAAAAGCTTGATAGGTTCTAATGTTTAGACTTTCCTTGAGCATGTTTTTGTGTTATTAGTGGTTAGATTTTATGCTTGCAGGAGCAGGACCAGTATATGAATCACATTATGATTGAAACACATGAGCAACTAACATACTGGGGGGTCATGAGCCTTCAGCATGGTACTCATTTTCTATAAAGAATGAGCCATTGTGTGCTAACTTTTGTCTTTTCTATAGTTATCTTACATCATTTTCGAAATATCAATGTCATCTATTTTGGTGTTGGTTGCAGAAGCACAACAACTGCTCCATTTGTTGTTGTCCATAAATAATCCTACGAGTCCTGAAGATGCACAGCATTTGGTAGACAAACTATTGGACACAATCAAGGTACGAGGCAACAAAGAGGGTAGCACACTAACACATACGTCTAATAGACGGGAGGAATTTAAGGAATTAAAGAAGAAAGGGAGAAGATGAAAGAGACGTTCAACTGAAGAGTGATAGATTTAAATCATTTAGATACAGGTGCTGGCTAGCTTAGTTATAGTTTAGTTATTTCTTTTTTATGATGATATTTAGTAGATATTTTAACTGATCATATACTTTTGATACTTATTATGGGAATATTTTATTTTAATTTAATATAAATTAAGCTTGCTATTATTATCATTATTTTTTTATTTTATTCTCTTTCAATTTTACATTATTAATTTAGAAATTTATGGGAAGATTAAATGAAAAATAATAAATAAATTAATGTAACGGTAGCAAGCTTCTAGGAACAATCAAAATAGGCACTCAATTTCTTGTATGCTTATATTATTGAGCAGTGCTAGGGGCACTCGCCTTTTGCACTCTCCGGCCAACACTTCCCTTTTCATTGGGCACGTGAGCTTGTTTGGGCTTTGCAGTGCAACCTCTTACAAACCAGAATAATGTGGCCCATTAAAAGTGAAAGTGTTGGCCGGAGAGTGCAGGAGGCGAGTGCCCCTAGCACTCCACCATATTATTTGAGGACGACATGGTCTTCATGACTATATTTGTGAGAACGTGTCATTCCTAAAGGTTTTAGGGATACTCGTCTTCAAAGGTTTTGGTG